CACGGCAAAAATGATGATGTGTTTTAATCCACTACGTACACCCACAAAGGTAACCATAGGTAAGTCCGGTCAATGGAAAGTGACCGTCTTCTCGTAACAATCTATCTTGGCACGACTGTAATGTAACCAATCCATGCCAAGAATAACATCAAAATCAACGATATCTAATGGAACAAGGTTACTTGGCATGACGATGTCCTCCACCAAAACAGGACATCCTTGATATACCCAGCTAACATAACATGTCTCGCCTTTAGGCATAGAAAACTCTAATTCATAACCAAGAGGTGTAGGGTAGGGTTGCGTCTTTTGAGCAAACATATGAGAAATAACAAAGCGTGTGGCACCATAATCAATTAATACTCTAGCAAAATGTCTAAGAATATTCAACGTACCCATAATAAGATCAGGATTACTTTGCGCATCCTGTAGAGTAATGTGGTGAACACGGCCCTGTGGCTGTTGCTGTCCTCCACTACCTCTGTTAGCTTGATTTCCACGTCCCTGACTAGGCGGATTAGGCTGCCTTGATGACCCTGCACTGCTAGAAACAACCTCAACGTTCTGGACTGCCCTCCTGGATACCACTGTGATCCACCACCTGGATATGGTGGATATGGATGTGTAACCTCATAGGTACTGAGCATAACCACTCTGATGATATGGATCGTGTGGGTACTGATACTGCCCTTCTGAATATGGAGCTATATCACCCTGATAATGATATGCTTCACCATAACCCGTCGAGGTATAACCAGTAAGCCCTGGAATCTGGTGAATAGGAACTGGTGGTGGCAAAGTAGATGGCTGGGCTTCTGCTGAGTCTGTGGGCACTAATTAGCCAGGTGTCCCATCTGACCACAAACAAAACATCCTTTGTTGCCTTGCCTACACTCCCCAAAATGTCAACTATTACATCTACGGCAGAATGGACCACCAGAACCACTAAAATTTCTGTCTCTGAAAACGGGAACCTCCTAAACAGTCACCCTTCTACGGTGTAGTGGAACTCGAGCCCCCACTAGAAAAACCAGAACTAGTAACAATTATCTTAAAACTTTGCATCTTGAGAGGTACCTGCGATGACTGCCCTTTATCTTTATTATTATTTTTCTTTTGGTTATTATCTTTTTCTTCTTCCTCCTCACTGTTATCTGGAGCATTCTCAGAGTCCTCAACCCGAAGTAAAACTTCATAAAACTCCTAATATGTAGAGTAGGGAGTCGAAGTCGCCATAAAACGCCACTTCTTTCAAGTACCCCACTTAAATTGTCGAAGCATTTCAACAGGATTTTCAGCAATCTTTGGACAATATCGAGACAAGTCAGTAAACTTTCAATAATTCAAACGCGAGAATTCTTCCTTCTTACGATCCAAATACTTGGGAGGTATAAATCTCTTCTGGAATAGTTGCTTAAAAACCTCCCAATATGCAGCTTCTGTCGGTGACAACGGAAAAGATTCCTGCCTCCACCAGGATGCAGCCTCCTCACCCAAAAACCAAGTAATCGTGTCAACCCATCTATCCTCAGGGAAATTCCCTTGTCACTACATCACCCGATAGGTTTTCTCGACATGATTGAGCCAACGCTTAGCTCTCTCGGGTCCCTCAATACTAACAAAACTATTCAACTTTAAGTTATACACCGTCTCCAATGGAGTTTTCTGGGGATGGCGAAGTGTGGACTGTATAGCATTAGCTATGACCTCACCAAGTTAGGCAATATCTGGAAAATTAGACGTACGTGGCTTTTTATGAGGCGGCATGGTTCTGACATAAAACATCAAAATGATTAGAATATTCACAAAATATATAGGATTACCAAACCTAGGCTCTACTACCAAATTGACACACCCCGAACAAAATTGAGGCATGCTAGCCGTCACGTGAGGATGACATAGCTTTGTGCGCAGTGTGGAAGTGACAGTGATATGAAAATGTGAGTAAGTAAAAACCAAACTAGCTAATTTACACCAGACAAGTATATAAGTGCGAGTGAAGGTATTTAAAGTGTAGATACACATATTCAAAGCATAGGTAACCTAGATGCAGTCCAACCAGCTAGGTAAGAATTATACAAGGCACGAAAGAAATCCCTACATTATTTGAAGTCTATCAGAACCGCAATAGAGTCCTTGTAAGCCACTAACATGAACTTCTAACTAGAACCTGGAGGGGCGCAAAACAGAAAATGTGAGTGGGCAAAAACAAAGCTTTTTAAAACCATTTCACTTTCCGAAAATAATAACCCCTCACCGTAAAACCCATATAATTTCCCAAAAAATAATACATACCTATATAGAAGTCATGCTCAAGAGTAGTGAAAACCAAGTATATACCATGTCAAGTATCTCAACAATGAAATAAGTCAGCTAGGTGAAATAAATCAATGTAAAATGATATGTCAGCCTGAGTCACTTAACGTGACCTATACGGCTGAGCCTATAGCTCATCTACCAATTCCTACACACAAGTCGGAACCACCTAATGTGGTTTGTATGACAAGGTGGATCTAAATAAATACACTCAAGTGTTACTATCATGTGAAGGCTGTGCGATAAATCGCAACTCACCTACGAGTCGGAACCACTTATTGTGGTATGTATGACAGGCTGACACTTGCCTTAGATCCAAGGTGAGCGTGTGGTGCAGGAGGTGAAAGATCACGTGAAGGCTAGGCCCTGGCCTCGGGCAGAGCACTAACACTAGGGTGCAGGATAATGAGCACTAAATGCATCTAAACATAACTATACACACTGCAGTCACTATCAACAATATGTACTCACCTGAAGCTTACCTAGGCATCTGCAATGTCATGCAATAATATGCATATCTATACTAATGCATATACTAAAATGTGATGCATTTGACATGGCATTTAAAGCGTAAATCCATTTAAAAACCATTTCTGGGAAAATGGAAAACATATATACGTATATATATAAAAAACCATTTTTGGGAAAATGGAAAACATATATACGTGTGTATATATATATATATATATATATATACGGATTTGAAGCTCTCAACTAGAAGAACACAATCTTACCTATTTGGGGACCTAAAACCGATAGGAAGTGGTCGAAATAAAGCTTGGTATAATCCGGCCAAACTAGAACTTCGTGAATCCCCTTATCCTGACATCAACTCCACCTTAAATCTACTCTAGGGTCTCTATGGAGTTGATTAAAGACTTCCTTGAGCTTTAGAATTCCGTGAAACATCCATGATCACGATGGAGTAACAGAGCACCTCGTCGGAGCTCGTGAGTTCCCATGTAAAACTTATCCTTTCCTCAAACTATTGGTATGGCTGAGATCGTAGGCTTGAGAAGAACATGATGGTGACCTTGAAAAGCTTGATCTGTGTAGTTTTTGGTGAGTTTGAGAGTTGGTAGGCTCGGGTGTACGAACGGGAGAGAAAATTCGAGAAGATGAGAGAGAGAAGAAGGTTTGCACATGTGTGTATGGGTGTGTGTTACGGGATTGGCCAATTTCAAATAGTCTCAAGCCCTAATTGGGCTATAGAATTCAGGGCTCAAACAATTGAGTCCAACTAAAAAGAAACCAACCCAAATTTCATTTATTCCTTCGTAACATTTCCATTATGAACCTGATTTGGCCCTAACTCGCGTCAACGCTTTTGTGGCGTCGAGTACAATTTGATCACAATAACGGGAAAAATAATTTAAAACTATATACGTACATCCACGTCACCAAGCCAACGAGTGCATAATCATCATTTTCACACATTCAGGGAGAAAATATATATTTATTCGGGATGGGTCGTCACAAATCCTCTTTTGAGAAAGTTTCCTTAGCATTTCCGAAGGTGAAGGTTTATGGGTGTTTGTGAAAATATGAAGGTGGGATTATCTATTCTTAATAATAAAAACATGTGTCTTTATAACTTGACAACCGCAGTCAATCCCAAAGCAATATATCTCGAACTCCTAACAAAGTATTGTTCACACACTTCCATTCCAAACACACCACTTTGGGCTTTGGCTTATCTCTCTCTCTCTCTTTTTCTTCACTAACCAAATAAATCCTCTCTTTCGACCTAAAAAGTTGTCAACATATTTTCAACTTACTAAAACAACACACCCCCAATAACCTCCTCAAACACATAAATGGAATGATCAAAGTTTTCTATGTAAATTGCGCTCCCCAATCTTTCCTTTCTAATTTCGTGAAAATACAGTAAAACCTCTATGGACCCCAAAACCAAAACTCCCAACTCCCAACTTCAACTAGTATTTGGCACTTGCATAAAAATCATTTAACATACAATGCTCTCCGACACACCGACCGAAAGCAAAGGTAAATTCGTAAATGAAACCAGTCATTTGTTTTTCTTACGGTCGTTTCCTTGATTTGAAGATGACATGATTGAGAAGGAAAAAGAGAGAGAGTGTGTGGGGAAGAAAGGATCTCCTTGTTAACCATAATATATTATCTTTGAGAATTATACAGAGAAGACCATAGAAGCTTAAAGAAGAAGAAGCTTAAGAAAGAAGTCAGAGAAAGTTTAGAGATAGAAAGAAATATTTTCATATATTTTTCTTAATGATCCAGATCAATACAATCCCACATATATCTAATGAAAGATTATGTTACAATGTCCTTATCCTCTAACTAAATCTTGTAATCTAGCCATTCATATATTGACAGATGTCATAATCCTGATGGCTCAAGTATATACTCTAACATCCCCCCTCAAGCTCAGGTTTGGATGAACCAAGCATGAGGTTGCTACAATGTGTACTAAAAAGAGGTGTACTTAGCCCTTTTGTGAGTATGTCTGCAAACTGTTCTGAAGAGGAAACAAACTGAACGAGAAGCTTTTTGCTTGCCACCTTTTCTCGAACGAAATGAACATCGATTTCATTGTGTTTAGTCATCTAGTGTTGTACTGGATTGAAAGAGAGCTATAGCAGATATATGATCACAAAACAGTATGGGAATATATGAAATTTTCATTGCAGAAATGCAAGCAGCTACTGAATCCAATCCAATTCTACAGCTGTTGAAGACAATGCTTTATACTTAACTTCGGTGGATGAACAAAATGTTGTTTGCTGCTTCTTGGAGGACCAAGAAATTGGATTATTCCTGAGAAAGACAACTAAGCCTGTGGTAAACTGCCGATCATTGGGATCCCCAACCCAGTCAGTATCACTAAAAGCTTTGAGGAACAACTCTTGTTTGCTATAAGTAATCTCTTGTGACAAAGACCTTTTAAGATACCTCAAAATACATTTAACTGTAGTGAAATGAGATACCATTGGAACTTGCATAAACTGACTAACCTGATGCACAGAGAATGCAATATCAGGTCGAGTAAAAATAAGGTATTGCAGAGTGCCAACAACACTTCTATAAAGAGCAGGGTTATTGAAAGGTTGACCATTATCCTTAAGAAGTCTACTATAAGGCAAACATGGTGTCGCTGCAGGTTTGGCATCCATCATTTTAGTCTTCTTCAACAAATTAGCAACGTACTTTTCTTGGGATAAGAATAAACCCTGATCAGTGTGAGAAATTTGAATGCCCAAGAAAAAGTGTAAGGAACCAAGATCCTTAATGTCAAACTTGTTAGTCAAATCTGCAATAACTTGTTGAATGGCAGAAGTTGCACTCCCAGTAATTATAATATCGTCCACATATAAAAGAAGAACCGCAATGACACCATCAATGTGTTTGACAAATAGTGAAGAATCAGAATAGGTGTTTTTGAAACCCAACCGTGGCAAAAATTGAGTAAACCTATCATTTCAAGCCCTTGGGGCTTGTTTAAGTCCATATAAAGACTTATATAACTTGCAAACCAAATAAGGATGCTGAGAATCCACAAACCCTGGAGGTTGTGACATATAAACCTCCTCCTGTAATATCCCATGTAGAAAGGCATTCTTCACATCGAGCTGTCTCAATGGCTAATTAAACTAAGCTGTAAGTGCAAGTATTAGTCTCATACTTGTTGGTTTAACAACTGGACTAAATGTTTCACCATAATCTAAACCTTCTTCTTGGCTAAATCCTTTGGCAACTAAACAAGCCTTATGTCTAGCAATACTCCCATCTGCATTTCTCTTGATTTTAAATACCCATTTACACCCAACCAAATTCTTGTGAAGTGGAATATCAACTAAACTCCATGTTTTCTGTGAATAAAAAGCATTGAGCTCATCCTGCATTGCATTAAACCACACTGGAACTTTCAATGCAAATTTATATGTGGCAGGCTCAGTAGTAGTCAAATCCACCACTGTTAAACTGTTTGCAGAAGCAAAGAACACCTTTTTCTAAACAATCCCACTCTTGGATCGAGTCTACATAGGATGTAAGTTCAACGGTAGAACTTCTAGAACCACTGGAATACATTCAGAACTATACTCAAGAATCACATGAGCTGGAGAATCTTGTGCAACAATGGACTGAGGTGACATGGATGGTTGAGGTAATATAGGTGGTAGTAGAGAAGATGAATGGGAAGATTGTGAAGGCAATTGATTAGGTACTGATATTGGTGGTGATGTAACTAGCACATTTTGTAAGTTAGGAACCACAACAGCAACCATGTTAGGAGAAATAGCTGGATTGGAACATTTTGATTTTGGACACTGTGAATTAGAACTCAGAGAACCATAGGGAAAATCTATTTCATTGAAAATGACATGTCTTGATATATATTTTCTCCCATGGTTTAGTTCAAAGAATATGTAACCTTTATAATTTGAAGCATATTTCAAGAAGATACATTTTGCAGACTTAGGTTGTAATTTGTTGCTATTATAGGGTTTTAAAAGTGGAAAACAAGCACAACCAAAAACCCTTAGATGTTGAATTTCAAGAATGGCAGAGTATAAAAGTTCAAATGGTGATTTACTTTGAAGAATAGAAGAGGGCATTCTATTGATCAAATAAATGGCTGTTTGGCAGGCAAAAGACCAGAACTTAAAAGGCAAATTGGCATTTTGTATAAGTGTAATTGCGTTTTGAACTATATGTTTATGTTTTCTCTCAGCCAAACCATTTTGTTTAGGGGTATAGGGACATGATTTGTTATGGGAAATGCCTTGTTTAGCAAGAAAAGATTGCATAGGTTTACCAATATATTCACCCCCCATCACTCTATAAAACCTTAATTGAGGCTGAAAATTGAGTGAAAACAAACTGATAGAATGTAACAAACACTGAACAAAGATCTGATTTATTGATTAACGGAAATAGCCAGCAAAATCTGGTACACTATCAACAAAGATGACATAATATTTGAAACCATCTACAGATACACTATGTGCGGGTCCCCACAAATCACTATGCACAACCTCAAAAGGTATTACAGATTTTGCAGAAACATGAGAAAAAAGAAGCTTACTAAATTTACCTTCTAAAAAACTCTGACAAATAATAGGAGACACATCTTGTTTAACAGCAACATTAGACTTTCTAAGTATAAGAGAGACTATAGGATTGGAAGGATGACCTAATATGCAATGCCATAAGGTTGAATTCACAGCGTGTCCAAGAAAGGCAAGAGCTTTATTGGCTTGTAAATGAGATGATTAGCTTGATGGTAAAGCATGTAAGGAAGGAATTGGATACAGTCTATTGTTGCAGAATCCTTTATACAAGATTCTCCTTGTGGCCTTGTCTTGAATCCAAAAACAATAAGCATTGAATATTAACCAACAATTGTTGTCAAGACAGATTCTATGAACTCACATCAGATTATGAGACAATTTTGGGATACAAAGAGCATAATTCAACTTAATAGGCTGAAAAGATGGCCTAAGAAGAGAATTCCCAATGTGAGAAACTTGCAAACCTTCACCATTTACAGTTTGAACAGTCTCATTGTGTGGATATGGAGATGCCAGAGGCAAATTGTTGAGATCATTGGTCATGTGATTGCTTGCACCAGAATCTGTCAACCAAACTTGAGGTGAAATTGAATTGGACATTGCAAGAGCATATGAAGTAGAAGCAGTCATTATTTGCAGAAGCATTTAGAGATGGAAAGCCATTTTGAGACATCATATTCATCATATGAGGCATATTGGAAGGAGTATTTATCATGGAAGGCATATATTAAGGCTGCATATATCTAGGAAAAGTAGCATGCATAGCAATCATCTGTGATTGAGGAGGTCTGTTGTTATTTTTGTAAAAACAGGTTTTAGCAGTATGATTGTTCCTATCACAAATTTGACAGTTCTCAGAGGAGTCAGATTCAGTATTTCTGTAGTTACAAGTAGCAGCACTATGACCATGTTGAGAACATAATTGACAAATGACATTGGCAGAGGATAAACCAGTGCGAAATTGAGGATGACTACCAAGAATTCCAGGTGCATAATCATGAACAATGGGTTTAGAATTGTAATACCTTTGTCCTTGATTATTATAGTATTTCTAACCCTGAAAATTTCCAGCTTTGCCTTTACCCTTGAATTTAAACTTGTTACCTCCATTAAAAAAGGAAGGCTGACCATAATTACCATGAAAACCATTTGGAGTCTGAAACCCAGAATGGAAACCTCCCTGAGATCCAGAAGACGAAGCACATGAATTGGAATCTTGGTTCTTTGCAAACATTGCAGTAGAAAATGACAGACCTTGACTACTCTCAATGATAGCTTCCTCCGCAAGCAACTGAGCATGAAATTCTTTAAGAGAAATTACATTATCTCTACCACGAATGACACACTTGAATGTGTTATACTCTACAGACAAACCATTCAAAGCCAATATGACAATAATCCTCATCTTCAAAATTGACCCTTGCAGCCACAAGATAGTCTCGTGCTTCTTTAATCCTTTGAAGAAATTGAGTTACAGAATCTGCCCCTTTCTTTATAGTTTGAAGATCAAACTTGAGTTGAAAGATCGAAGTCTTGCTGACAGTATAAACACGTTCTTGAAGACGAACCCACAAATCTCTAGCGCTTGTACTGCCAATAGCACAAGAAATGGCAACAGAAGACAGTTTTGCAGTAATAAGCTGCATAAGTGCCCTATCATGCATCTTCCATACTATGTAATCATCAGACTCAATTCTTGAATTAGATTCAATAAATCAAATTTCAGGATCACTAGAATAGGTATATGAGAATTGAGAAGGACAGGGATTTGAAACATCCACAAAATTCATGATCCCATATCCTTCGAGCATCAATTGCATTTGAAAATGTCATTGAAGATAGTTGGAATCATCCAACTTAGCCGACACTGAGGATGATACAGAAGATTTGCAGTTGATTCATAGTAACCATGGTGGAAATTTTTCTCTGAGGAATAAGAACAAACACTTGGTGGGCAAGAAGTGACCAATAGAAAATTACAGTTACCAACAATGAAGAAGAACCCAGATATCACATAAAAATCACAGAGAGATAAGAGATGAAGCAGAAGCATAAGAACCCAGAAACGAAGAAGTTATCGAAGCTTATCGGACTCTGATACCATGTTAACCATAGTATAATATCTTTGAGAATTATATAGAGAAGACCATAGAAGCTTAAAGAAGAAGAAGCTTGAGAAAGAAGTCAGATAAAGTTTAGAGAGAGAAAGAAATCTTTTCATATATTTTTCTTAATGATCAATACAATTCCACATATATCTAATGAAAGATTTTGTTCCAATGTCCTTATCCTCTAACTAAATCTTGTAATCTAGCCGTTCATATATTGACAGATGTCATAATCCTAATGGCTCAAGTATATACTCTAATACTCCTCACTCCTCAACCCCCTTAGTAGCCCAGAGATTTTTCAGTGTGATGAAAACATGACGTATCACTATATAAATAGTGAGATATATATATAAAAAAAAATTAATAACATAAAACATAAAATTTCTCATTATTTATATAAACGCACGCACTCGTGTTTTTTTGTAACAATGAAAAATTTCTACTGACTCATCAGTAGCTATAAGTACACTCTCTCTCATTTCTTTGTCTCGCTGTCTCTCTCTCTATCCTCTCTCTCTCTAACAGTTACAGACGTATACAAACATATAGAGCACACAGCGATTAACGCATATACAGAGGACTCATCGTCTCGTCTTTCTCCGCATTATTCGCTGCGTTTTGGACTCTTCCGTACTGGATTGAGGTCGCACACAGAGGATCATGGCCCTCCGTCGTCCGCCGCTCCTCCTCCTTCCCCGCTCTCTCTTCCAGGCAAGCACCACCAACTTCCTTTCCGTCTCTGCTTTTCTCGAATACATTTTTTTCGACTTTCACCTTTCTTTTTCTCCTTTTAAACAAAAAGGACCAGAAACGGAAAAAAGAAGATTTTTTTTCCTCCAAGTTTTTCTTACAGTTTTCTCAGTAACCAAACATAATTTTCACTTCAGAATTGAATTGAATTGAATTATTTGAGGCGCATTCGACTTTGTTTTCGAGTATAATTAAGAACATTTTCACTTTGGTTACTGTCACTGACGTTATTTATGCAGTGCAGGTGTTATTTATTCGGGGCGTAGCATATGCTGCTCAGACCTCCGTGACGTCTAATGCTACGACGGCGGGGTGAGGCCGCTTCCTTCACATTTTACACGCACAATTTATCATTTTTTATTTTTCGCATTAACAAACTTCCGAGACATAATTGTTATTTAATTTAGTTAATTCTGCTTAATTTTGGCACTTCATGATGCATATGGTGTGCTTAGTTAAATTTCACTAAAATCTTAATAAAATATAAAATTAATGGTGACTGCAAGCTAATTTTGAATTAGCTGTTTTTAAATCGCTCCTGATTCTGAATTATGTCCTGCTCATGTGGTGTTTCAATTAATTATCTTTTAGTTCCTGGAATCGTAATTTTAGTTCCTTCGATGAATTATCTGATGAATCAAGATATGGCAATAGAAGTCGATGTTTCTTGAATTTGTTCTTTTCTTTGAAATTGATTATTTCTTACTCTTTATTTTTCTTGTTGTGTAGGGAAAGGCATTTGGAAGAGTGCTGCGCAATGTATGGCATTTGTGGGCAATGTAGTGATGGAAAGTACTTAAACTGCCCGTTCGGTTCCCCATCTGTTAAGGTGGAAGCAGTCACTCTTTTATGAGTAAAAGAGCTGATAAAAGACTAGCTTTAATGCTTCTTATTCTATCATAATGATGTGCGCGTGTTTAAGGTTTTTAATCAACCCAATAATCTCACATTTTATCTGTTCCAGCCAGATGATTTACTTTCGTCCAAGGTCCAAAGTTTGTGTCCAACAATTACTGGAAATATTTGTTGTACAGAAGCTCAATTTGACACACTACGGTCACAGGTCCAGCAAGTAAGTATTTTTTCTGTTTACAGTCGGTTGTAATCCCACTCTGCTAAGATGCTTTCCATAATCTTTTCCACCCTCACCCCAAAATTTATCATTAGTAGTCTTTTTACTTGTGTTCTATATTTGCAGGCAATTCCCTTTCTTGTAGGTTGTCCAGCATGCTTAAGAAACTTTTTGAATTTGTTTTGCGAGCTTACCTGCTCTCCAAATCAAAGTTTATTTATCAATGTGACTTCTGTAGCCAAGGTAAGAAAACCCTCTTTGTATTTTACTGGTTCCATTCAGACATTGTCCTGCAGTCCAATCTTATGATTTATTAATTATACAAGTAAGAAGGTTATATATAAACTCAAGCGTGCAACCTGAAACATTGATTCATGCTTTCACAAAATTTCTTGCCAATATGAATGTGTTTACATCTCTTGGATCGCCAAAGCGACCTACTGCAATCTATTGTTTTTTATGATGTATGATGTCTTTATTGAATTATATCTAACATGCGAATATGGTGTGTGTTGGTCTCTATATGGTCTTATAAATATTGCATCAAAGAAAAATAGAAATGAAGGCTCTCAGTTATATGGTAAAAGAATTGAGTCCTAGAATCATTTGACGTTCATCCTTATGTTTAATTTACTTGATGGTTTAGCACATGAACATTTTGAGTTTCATTTAGTTGATGAAAAATGGAAAAAGGAAGCAGATAATTCTTAAATTACTTGAGGATGTTGTTACCCTTTTGATTTGTTGGTTAAAGTTTGAATATTCTGTGAGGATTTAGTCTTTTACTTGGAAATAATTTTGTTTTTAAACTTATTTTTTGTCGAATAGAGAATATGATTATGTCTCTTCTCAGAGAGAGACAATACTTAAGGAAGCTTATTCCGTTTGCAGGTTAACAAAAATATGACTGTCGATGGGATTGATTATTATATAACTGATGACTTTGGTGAAGGGTTATTTGACTCCTGCAAGGATGTCAAGTTCGGCACCATGAATTCTCAAGCTATAGAATTTATTGGTTCTGGTGCTAAAAATTTTAAAGGTAAGTTTGTTCTTTTGAAATTGCAAATTAGGTCTCCGTCTCCGTCTCCGTCTCTGTCTCTGTCTCTGTCTCTGTCTCTCTCTCTCTCTCTCTCTCTCTCTCTCACACACACATACACACACACACACACACACAGACATACAGAAAAATGTACACTACATGGATTTTATCCTTAAGTGGGGAATGATAATGTAAAGATAAGCATATCAAATTGGAATATATTAATCAAGTGACATGGCTACTTTTGCAGTAGCTAATAAGATGTAACTGTCGCAATAACGCTGCACCATTTAGTTTATTATAAAATGTGGGTCTTTTAGCATCTTGGTTTTGCTGGTAGTGGGGATTGATTGACTATTGGACACTTAATTGGCAGATGCAACGAAATTCTGATTGATATACTTGTATGCCAATGCCTTAGTTTGTGCTGTTTAATAACTATCGGTGCTTTTACTGTGGTTTATGGCAGACTGGTTTGCTTTTATCGGTAAACAAGCACCTCCTGAAGTGCCAGGTTCTCCATATGCCATTAGATTCCTTTCAAGCGTTACTGAGTCATCTGGGATGAAACCTATGAATGTATCTACTTATTCATGCGGTGATAATTCACTGGGCTGTTCCTGTAGTGATTGCCCTTCAGCTACAGTTTGTTCTAACACAGTTTCTCCTGTTTCCCGAAAAGGAGGTTCATGTTCAGTGAGAATTGGGTCGATAAAGGTGAGAGCATGTTTTAGTATATTTTAAGCTTTCGTCTCTTACATGAATTAGCGTGGTCATATTGGATGAAGATTTCATGTAGGTACTGTGAAGTCAGGAACTCTATGCTTTGTTTATACGATTTACTTCTGTGACATCTGCAGGTTAAATGTATCGACCTTGCTGTTGCTGTTCTATATATTGTACTGGTTTCTGTGTTCTTTGGGTGGGGTTTGTTTCATCAAACTAGAAAAACCAACCCGGCTTCTAGGACAGAACCGCGGTGGAATGTAATGGATGATGGCGAAGTTCATTCTAACAGGGAGAAGAATGAGAACCCTCCGATGCAGGTGGAGACCAATTTCCTTTCTTTCACGATATACTTATGCATGTGTTCATCTGAATTTATATCACTCACAGTGTCTGCGTTTACAAGTTTAAATCTACTTTGAATTTTTTTCATACATTGCCGGTCCCAACCCTGGATAAAGGAGGAGGGGGAGGGTGTTAGGTAGTCGACAGCCGGCACTCCTAGGCTACGTCGAATCCTTATGAAAATGAATCTAGAACGAAATCGCGCTAAAGCTAGGGCGTCACCCGTAAGTGGCGCGCTGTGTGGCCCGAGCATAGTGATAAGTGAGCAAGGGTCGCTGTATCTCCATCGGCACCCGGATGCAGTGTTAAATGAGCAAGGAGGTCATAGAAACTTCTTTTTGAACGACTCCACTCAAAGT